ATCATCTTCGATATGAAGATTTTACTGCTGTGCCAGTAACACTTCGTTATACCTTTGGCTATCAATGCTTAATTACATTATACTGATCTATAAACTATCATCCCTAGGTAAGCGAAGCATGATGTATAGAATCGGCAAAAAGCAAGCAAACTATTGTAATTAATATAATAAATAAGTGTGACATGAAGATTGCAACGTGAACCAAGAAGTCTGATGACTAACTAACATTTATGAATTGATCGTTCAAAAGAAAAGTCGGTCATTCGAATTAATATCAAGTTTGTCGTCATCGGATCTAATGCACACATTATATTGGCACTATTTGTGCATTATTTAAAAAACATTTTTTCTGATTTTGAGATGATTCTAATAAGTTACTCACCACAACGAAATAAAAGAAGAATTAATATATGAGGAAATTTTTATGTTGTGGATCTATCGAATAGACTTGTCGTGGTATATGTGATACTATTTGCTTATTTTATCGAATGATTTGATCTTCTTTTACCTTTGAAATAAGGTGACTTCATTCATTTCTTACTCTTCGTTACTTTGCATAGTTTTCTTCCTTTTTCAAAATATTTTTTTGTACTCTGTACTCAATCATGAAAAGGTCCAAATAAGATGCACACAAAAATTTGCCTATAACGAAACATGTGCACGAAGCGATATGCTTGAGTGATTTAACATTCGGTGAATCTTGTACACGAAATAAAAATAAAACATACTCGTACCTGAAAGGTGTCGAACGGCAAAAGGAAGTAGCAAAAGCGAAAAATTACTCTCATTTTGAAACCCATAATATGTTATATTCATATGCGTAAACAAGAAGCCTCAAAAACAAAATCGATAGTTATTCCCATATGCAGTAAATATCGACGAATTACTGTCGTATATATTCATCTTTATGCATCACTTCAAACTTGTTGTTTTTAAAAAATATCTAGTTTAAAAATATTAGTACATTAAATGATTGACTGCTTAATAACGAAAATATTTAGTTTCGTGTACATGATCAATATACAATTTGCTTATAATTTCACACTTTGATGTCCTCAAAAAAATGTTTTTACACAAAGCTCGTCAATTATAAATAGTCCAGTCGAAATATTATAATACAAGAATCTAAAAGTTTTCTCAAGTCTGTCAGCACAAGAATGGCATTGACATTGATAGCTGCTAAGGTTTTTCCATAATTTCTTGTAGATCGTTGCAGATCATAAGAGAAACTTTAATGAGAGTATGGTCGTAAGTGTCATTGTCAAGTTTTCTATCATCCACCGACACATCCCAGTTACAACCTTGCTGTTCAAGTCGTTATTTTGTGTTGGATGTGGGTGTGAATATTGTCGTCTTTTACACTCAAATCCCACTCACAACCCCACACCCACACCCCAGATCTACACCCTAGGCTATATTTTAGTGAGTTTCAACATACAAGTCATGATAGAACTTAATCGAGCGGCATTCGAACCTTTTGAAGATTTATGTGGTAAATCACGTGAAAACTCGAGATTTTTCAAGCTTCTTATATGAATCGATAGAGCAATCAACGCTCTAGAAAATGGTGAAAATCGCAGCTTGCTAGTTGATTTCATTCTCAAGTTAGTCGAAAAATGGTCACGACCATTCTTTTTTTAAACAGACAGTAGTAGTTTCTTTCTGGGAATGTAAATATATGAAAAAAATTTGCTTTTACACATGAGAAAATTTCGAGTATTGAATATATCAGATTAAGCGTTACTAAAATAGTTATAGCTTGTCCAGTAAATTAATCTCACTGAGAACTTTGTTTCGTACAATGTTGACAGTAAAAAGTCGATTAGACAGACTACAATTACACACTTGTATTTGACACTAATAGTCCAGATCTATAATGATGGTAGGTACGTGAGCAAGTGATCAATGATTTTAATGAAATATGAATTGATACTGATCAATTACGTGGGTATCCAATGCAACAATTAAAAACATATTCGGGAAAAACATGTGATACATGAACGAACAAGATCCATGAAAGTAAGGATCACAACTACAGTTTTAAACTGACGTTGTTTCTTGTTAAAGATTATTATTACCGAATGAACAGTCGTTTAGGTCAACTGATGCAAAAAGACGAAAAAAAACCCACATTTCTAAAAAAAAAAAAAGATGTTTCATATTGCATAACTTTTTGTAATGAAAAGATCGATCTAGATTTAATAAAAATATTATTATATATAATGTATATTATTACGTTCCTATAATCCTTTTATTTATCATTATTTTGTTTCATCGAATAACTCGATTATAAAATAACTTTAACAATTTTTTAAAATCTTTACGAAATGTTTTTGACATGACAAAGAAAATATAATATCGAGAGCCAATATTTATGAAAAACATAAGTGTTGCAATAGTTACAATAAAATTTTCTATTCGAATACGATCAATAGTTTTTACCACATTCATATAAGTTGTTATAGAAATTTCCAAAAGAATAAATGGATATAATAATATAGTTATAACATGAATGAATACTTCACCAAGTACCATATAGAATAATTCTCGTTCACGATTTCGAATTATAATACTTTCTCTCTGATTATCATCAATAGGATGATTACTAATAGGGTGAATACGTAATTGTAATTGTTTTACATTACGATATGTTAAATAACCAAAAATACTCATTAGTATTATTGGTATAAAACCAACAAATATTATTAAATAAATATTATGTAAAATATAATATAAACCAAATTGATTACATCGTCCATTATTAATCGTAGTTGAGAACAATATATGAATTGGAAAAATATGCCAAAAAAGAAATATAATACACATTATATATCGTACGTTTGTTGGTTGAATAAAAATTTGAAAACGAACATTCATTGTTGTTAAAATAAAACGATCAATACATGCTAAAATAGTAAAATATCTTGCTGATTGACCTAATGTATTTGTTAAATAAAAACGTAATTTACAATAAATTAAAGAACGTGAATTTAAATCACCATAATTAATACTATAAAGTGTTGGTGGAATAGCAAATAGAAGATAAAGATTATTTATAATAGATGCCCAGAAGAAATACATTGAACAAGAGTTTTGTCGATATTTTCGAAAAAGTATTATAATAAAACTATTACCTATTATTCCCAAAATGAATATCATAGATAATCCATAACGATTAAGTTCAGTTTGAATAACCGGTAATAAACTCGTTGACATTATGATTTTTTTCTATATTGTCCTAAAATGATAATAATGTGTGAGTATAGTTTTTGTTAAATCACATAATTCGTATTCTGTTTGCTTTTTTCATATGAAGAATTTTATTAATGAACTAGATGAAACTGTCTTCTAGTGACTTTTATAGAAAAAATGAAGGTTCAATAATATATAGGGTGTACATCATTCTTATGCTACATCATGTTGAAAGTTTATGCGCAGATATAATTTGAGTTATATTAATAAGGTTATTTAAAAATTTTCATCGGATATCCATAAGAAGTGTCCTATAACGTTTTTTTTTTACTTTGTGTTTTGACACAGAACGTATCATGTTCACGTAATCAACTTTGACTATGATAAAGATATTTTATTACAGGTTTTTTACTAATCATTTTCTTTGAAAATTTAGTTAACATTGTTGAATTAATTGTAATGATATTTTCTTTTGTTTAGATGTTTAAAAAGTCGAAATAGTAGATTAAAATTATTTAGCAACCTAGAATCGAATAAGACAATTAAAGATATTTATCCATAAAAGCGATAAAATTATGTAATAGTCATGCTACCTACGTCAATATACAGATAAGGTTGAATAATCAAGATGAATCTTCTTATTAAAAAAAAAACATGGTTGAAACAATGAACAAATGATTTACAAGAATAAAGATCCATTCGACATTTACTCTTGAATGTAAATATAAATAGAATTGTTGATGAAAAATAAAAACTCATCAAAAAAATCTATTTTTCATGTCATATCTTAAATAATTTGTTATTTGATCATCTTTGTTTTGAGGAAAAATAATATCTAATTAACTAGAGTATTAAAGAGGGAATTTATATCTTTTTGCTAAAGTATATCTTGTAAAAAATACTATCAAAGTAATTTCATCTATATAATCTTTCTTTTAGGTTTCATTTTGATCTTTTCAAGAATATATAGATTAACATCCAATCTCAAATCAACCTAAACTTTGATTAACACAACTATAAAAAATATGAAATATGCCGAATTTTATCCATAGAAAAGCAACTGTGTTATTTTTTTCTAAAATCTGATTTTGCACATACTACATTCTCTTGTTTGTGAAAATTAATAACCATTTGGTTTTCTTATGCTAGTCCACATTGATTAAAAAACAAATTAACTTCATGAAAAGTTTCATTTGTTTCTATCAAAATCATGATACATATTATTACAGTAGAGATACGGAAAAATACAAACATGTTTAACTGTTTGAGATCGAACACTGCCTGCATCTAGTGGTTAAATATGAATAATGTTTAATATAGTTAATTGTTATAATTTGAGCAAAACACCTGTACGAAAAACAAAACTATACTGCTTGAGCTTGTACATTGTAGATCAACACCGTAATGAATCAACATTTCCTAGATAAATAGTTATTAAACAATAATTCTCGGACCGGTAATCTATTGCCGATATATTGTCGTCTTTGCAAATAACCGTGCGACACAAATTGAAAGATTTTTATAGAAAATTTCGTTCGTCAATACGTTTAAAAAATGTGTAATTGAAATATGGGTCACATTGTTTGATCAACATCATTGCCTATCGACACTCTCTATAATTGACGATGCAACCAATTTTTCGACTTCTGATATGTTATTTATTGATTTATCTTAAATACATTTCTTTATAGTTGTTCAAAATAGAGAGCAATAACTAATGTTGAGATTAAATGTTAAATAATCGATTTTAATTAGATGTTTCGTGAAAAATTTTCACATAGGAATGACAGACTTTACAAAAATCAAAACTAAACAGTTGGCATCAGCCATCCATGATATCGTACAATTAATCCTATGAGTGTATGTTTGATTTCGACATGAAAACAAAAGCGACCATCATGTTCAAATTCATAGAAGTCTCCATGTGGTGATAAACATGTTGGTAGCCGAATGCCAAATAGAGTCCAGCTACGCACAATCAAATGCAGTTTTCCAGCAATAGTCACTAAAGCTAGACCAAAAGTAAATGGTCCGAACTGTTCCATCAACAACCTGTCCGAACGACCAGAACCTTTTGTTTGCCAACTAGAAAAGGATTTGTTCGCGAAAGTTCGAGTCCACAATTCACCATTGGTCTCGCGCTGAAACACGACTTGAACTGGTACATTCTTTCCCGATTTGGGAAAACCAACTAACATCGCAATGCAACGAGATATAATATTGGTGCCTCGTTCAACTTGAGCAACACCTACAACCTTGACAACGTTCTTACTATGCAACACTTGCAAGGACTGCGGTAGGTAATTCCAGGCTTGACCGAGCAATTGTTGATATAGTGATAGTGATTCAGAGAAACCGTTTGTGCTTCTCGAATCATACTGTCCAGTATAAATAGCATGCTTCTGAAATATTTTTTCGTAGTCTTGAAGTTCGAGATCCATAGTCGCAGCTCGAGCACCACTTGCCGGCTTTTTACCAACTAATATGCGACGAACAATCCCTTCAATTCCCATCGAAGGAATAAACGGACCTACATCACCTTCAGCTAATAGATGCCATGATCGTTCTTGTTTTTGACCGTCTCTATCACTTCCTTCAATTGAGACAAACATTCCGCCACGGTGCTCACCCCAGCGTACTACATTCGTTGTCCAATGAAACAATGGTGCAAACGGCGTCAAACTAGGAATTAGCCGCCATCGAACCAGCCATGCAAGACCATTGAGAATACGATGTAAAATTTCCGGTACTGTTCCTGCACCGAACCAAATGGAGTCGATATTTGGCCATAAGTCAGGTAAGATTTTAAGATCAGGTACATCTACTAATGAAAATCGACGATTGGACAAGGGAAGATGACCAGGTGGACATATCGTGTACCGTATCGTCTCTGTCAGTGCATAGCTAAATGTTGGCTGACTTCTGCGAACTAAAGCCACACGTTGACCTGAATAACTTGTAATTGCACGAATAACATTCAATCCGACATCAGCATATGGCGATGGTGCAATGCCACCTTTGATCGAATGTATTCTTGTCAATCCTTTTGCTAAATGTCGAACTACAACAGCAGTCAATAGAGGGCACGTACTGGCACCGGAAAGTACGTATATATTATTCTTCTTAGCTTGTGCATCGAATTGAGAAACACCTTGAACGAAAGTTGATCCATCAGCGAGGTCGAGATAATTAATCGACGTTGTCAAACATGCTTTTATCACTCGATACGGATCTTTTGTATAGGATTGAAATGGACCACTTGCATCGACTAATAAATCGGGTTGAATGATCCGTAATTCTTTTTCAATATTTGAATTATCACGATCAAAATGGAGCGCACGTGTAGTAGCTGCATAGCCACGTAGTTTATTGCATAATTCTTCCGCATGTTTGATCGATCTACCTGCAATCAATAATGTTAGTTGAGATTCATTGGCAAGCAAGCGTACCAATCGACTACCAAACGTCCCATAACCACCGATAATGAGAATTCTCATCTAAACAATGATGAATTTGTTTCTTTTTTTGTTGAAATTCAACGTTGTTCTGAAAGTAGAAAGCGCTGGTATATAATAAGTCTATGCAAAGTAAAAATAATGTTTCACCATACCATTTTATTGCATGCTTACTACTAATGATAAAAAACACTCCGTCGCTCAGTAAAGAATAGAAAAAGAAAAATATCCATCGCACACGTGGCGTCTGCGTTCTCTCGTTGTCTTGGTCGACGAAGTAAATATTGTAGTGATATAGAGATGAGAAAAATATGTTATTTTTGAAACTAACTTGTTTGAATTGTTGATGAAGTAAAATCAATGTGATACGTATATGATCTCACTTCAAAACCTTGGAAAATTTACCATAAATCCATGACGACAAGATTTAGAAAAAATACTATTTTTTTACCACAACGATAAAAGTTCCTTGGAAAAGTAACATATTTTTATCAGTTGTAGCATTGAACAAAGAAAAAATTCATCTACTATTTACCTAGCTTTGTACCGTACTCAACCGTTTGAATTCTCGCAACTTAAACATCTATAAGTATATCATTCGATATCATAATCAAGCTTTTTATTGTAACCATTTTCCTTTGACCTATTCTGTTTTACTATTTTTCCGGTTCCAAAGAGTGTGGATATGAATATCGATGTGTTGTGATGCACGGAGCTCAGTGCAAAGACTCATTCACACCCACATCCACCCTTTTTATAATCTGATTGGCATCAGATGACCAACTGTAAAGATATTTTCTTCGATATAAACCTTTCTATCATGAAAGGAAATAAAAAGTAACCAACTATGACGATACTAATATGTTCATCGTTAAAAAGAACGTCCAGCACATGGCTGCCATATCCAAATATAAAAAAAACCAGTAGATCTTCAAAAAATTGAAGCAATCATGTGGCTAAATTATCTCGAAAGAAACTGAAATTTTCATTCACATATCTATCTATTTCTTTCTACTACGAAGTTGATGATGCCAAGACAATACTCTAAGTAATATATAAGAAAGTGAAAGAAAGATAATATGTACATTTTTTCAAAACTAAATAACCTGATGGATTTGATAATCATTCTTTTGAATTTTTTCAAATAAATTTTAGTTACTCTAATGTATGATTATGATAGAGCAGTTTTCGACTTGAACTTTTTTCAATGAAATAAGACCATAGTTTTACTTGCTATGATAAAGTTTGTGACAAAAAATTTCTTTCACTAAATCTCAGATCACACTGTAAGAAAAAAAAAAAAGATTCATTACAAGAAAGTTTATTTGTTTTAGTTTGAAAACAAACAAAAAAAAAATTCAAATAAAATAAAGAAAAACAAAACAAAAGAAATTTCATTATCATCAGGTATAAAATAATCCTGATTGAAATCCATATTCAATAAGTTCTTCTTTTGTCATTTTAAATTGACTTAATTTCCATTGTTCTTTCAAATATCGTAGAAAATATGAAAAACCTTTATAAGATATTAAACCATTTTGTTGAAGATCCCATGTATCTATAGGAAATTTTGGTATAGACCATTGTTTTATTTCATCAATAAGATAAATATAACCTTGATATTTAAGTAATTCAATAATATATTGATGTCGAATATTTTGTTGATTTGCATGACTATTTATAATAAATTCTTTATATGAATAAAGTAAATCATTATTTTGTATTGGTTGAAGAGAATAACGATAATCAAATAAAAATTGACCAAGATTTTTATGATGTGATGAACATTTTACACGTTTACAAAATGTATCAAACTAAATTAAAATAAATTATTTCTTGTTAGAATTCTATCTTTTGAGTCTTTTTGTTTTTCGTTTACCTCTTCTTGATCATTAAAAAGTGTACTAAGTAATGTCATAGGTTCTGGTTGATAATTCATACATCTTAACCATCGATTTTCTAATTCAAACATTTCTACAGATGATTCAGGTAAACCTATTTAAAAATAAATAAAAGATTAGAATAAATTAGAGAAAAAAAAAGACCTTCGCGCACCCAATAGTGGGGCTAATTGTTGTTTAAGAATTGTTTTCATTATATGTCCAGCAAAACGACCACGAAGAATAAGTTTTAATTCAATCCAAATCTTTTCACCAGAAACATCTATGATTATACTCACGGAAATTTATTTAATTTAAAAACAAACAAAAAAAAATCTTTTTTTTTTTTTCTATACCTTTTAAAGTCATAGAACATTTTTGAATAGCTTCTAATACTTCAGATTCATGTGTAAATGGATCAGATGATAAACGACCAAAGAATCTATAATAGAATAAAGAAATATATTTGTTTCATTCTATGCAAAAAAAAATAATGTTAATCAAACCGAAAATAACGTAAAATTCGAATAGGATTTTCTTGTAATCGTTTAATAATATTTCCATTAAAATGAATTCGATTCATTTTTAAATCATCAATTCCATTTGTATAATCATATATAATTCCATGTTCATCCATTGATAAACTATTTATTGATAAATCTCTTTGTTTAGCATCAATACTCCAGTTATCAGTAAATTCAACAAATACATCTTTACCATGACGTGTAATTGATTGTTTTAAAGTTGTTACTTGAAATGTTTTCTTTTTCATAATCAGAAAAAAAAAAACAAAATGAAAATTTCTATTTTTACTAAATAATTTTAACTCACTCGTATAGTTGTACCAACAACAAGTGTTAATGTTCCGAAATGTTCAGCACGTGTATAAACAAGTTCAATATTTGAATCACCTTGAATAAGTTCTAATATATCATTTGTTGTTGCTATTGTTGCTAAATCAATATCATGTGGTGTAACACCAAGTAGAATATCTCGAACAGCTCCACCAACAAGTCGTATTGAATAATCATATTTATTAAATAATGAAAATAGATAAATTAATTGTGATGAAAATAAATGTTGATATTCAGATGGATTTAATTGATAACAACGAACTGATGATGACATTCTTTGAAGTTAAAAATAAAATAAGTAAACATAAATGTACAAAATGAATCATTTCTATTTTTCTTTAAAGTAAAATAGATATATATATATATATCACGTGCTAATATGATATGATAAGAAAGAATAGATTACTTTTGTACAATGAAAAATTACCCAATATTAAATAAGATAGTATTCGATTTTTATTCAAGAAAATATCAATGTATGTTTTCACTAATCCTTTGACAACAAAAGAATTATAAAGTTATATTCTAATTCTTGACTTCTAAGCACAACAAAAAGAAAAATATGAACAATAAACAATATTTCAAATCGTAATTGATATGTTAAAATGAGTTGTAATCAAAGCCTTTATTAAGATGTTAACGAAAGAAAAAAAACAACAATATAATACAAATGTACAGAAGGCTGGAGAGAAACGCCGAGACGCTTGACGAAAGTCTTATGTCTCGTGAAAAGAGGTTATACGATGGAAGTTGTGATAATGGTATATATGATGCAAAGTTGAAGTCGGCGAATCCGATATAACAATTTTTATATGGATTCGGTCGAGTCAACAGTGATCTATAATAACGATGCTATATATCCTCCTGGCCAAAAATAGTTTTACACAGTATTTTTAGTAAATCATCACTATAAATGAACATTTTCAGAAAAGTAATTATATATTCCGATAGGGCGCGGAGTTCTCTACATCCCTATATATGTTCGATTTAAATTGCATTTCTTTATTAAAAATAAAATAAAGAACAATGAAGGTACCCTCATTACCAGATTCCCCGGTTACATTCAATTCTTTTTATTCCTTTTAGTTCATCAGATAAGCGACATGACAAAACTGACAACTATACAGGGTGATAGAGCGTTTCACGCGTTTTCAGAATATATACTTACTTTTGTTATAACTTCTTCCTATGTTGAGAATAAACTTGGAAAAATGAAGAAAACAGGATAAAAATAGGATAAAAAATTGAACGAAAAAGGACGAAAAAATTCATTTCCGGGGAATCTGGAGATGAGGATGCCTTTACTTTACATGAATTTATTTTTTATGTATAAGTGCAATTCAAAATGTTTATATATAGAGTTGTAGAGAACTCTTTGAACTTTCCGAATATATAATTATTTTTTCCAATATGTTTATTTATAGTAATGATTTATTAAAAATACTGTGTAAAACTATTTTCGGCCAGGGGGATATAATATATAACATGGGTAGGTGATTTGTTTTTACAGTTTGTTAGATATTTTTTGTAAATTGTTTTTCAATACATGGTCGTTGTTTAGTGTTGCTATTTGGATATAACGTTGTAGTAGTGTAACGGCATATTTTTTAATTTTGGGAATGTTGGTAATTCGATCTATATAGATCAGAGATGTCCATCGCGCCGCTGCCGCCGTGGCGGTGGCGGTGCGGCAGCGGCAGATTTTTTCCAAAAACTATCGCGGCGCGGCAGCAGCGCGGGAGAGATTTTTATTTTGCCGTCGCGGCAGCAGCACCTTTTTAGGAAAAAATTTCAAAAATTCATGAATTTGCACAGAATCTGCATGTTTATGTATGCTATACTGTAAGACTTAGCGAATCTGATCGATTAACGGCATCAGTTCTATTTCAAACCAGTCAAAGCCTTGAAAATCAAAACATTTTTTCGAATACCAGCGCGGCAGCGGCGCGGTAGCGGCAAGTTTTTTTTAAGGCGCGTCGCGGCAGCGGCGCGGTAGCTTTTTTTAACAGGCCATCGCGTCGCGGGAGCGGCAGATTTTGAGCCGCGATGGACATCTCTGATATAGACGACAGATGTATATATGGGTAAGCCTAATGCAGCACGAATGGCTTTGTTTTGCATAATTTGTAGTCTTTCCCATATTTTGTCGTTGGGTGTAAGTAATATTGGATAATCATAGATGATAATCGATCTTACTATAGATTTGAAAATGTTTAACATGATTTTATCATTTGGTTCGTAAGCTACCCTATTTAAAAAATGAAGCAGACTGATACGACCAGCAATCTTCGATTCAATATGATGCAGATGGCTTCTCTGCTAAAATGAGTTGATAATCTAATTTGTATTGAAATCTAATTTATACTTTATCAAATTAAGTTTGATAAGATTAGACTTCTTTATTTTGATAATGCAAAAGTTCGCAGGTAGCATTTGAAGAGTTTAGTTTTTAATTATCAATGTTAAACAATCGATATGTTTTAAACTTTAATTCTAGTTTTCAATCGAAATTTTTTCTTTTATTTAAAATAAAAATATCACATAAAAAAAAACAACATTCGAGTTTATTTTACAAAATATGTACTAATACACAGTTGTTGTTGCTATTCAATAACAATAGATTAATATTTTATTAATTTTGTTTAGATTTTTTTGATGAAGAAGATGTTGATGATTTAGTATTTCTTGATATTATATCGTTCATATTTGTTAAATTTTCTAATACATATGGAAGAGATTCATCAATTAATTGATTTTCTGTAGCTTGAAAATATGATTGTTTCCAAATTTCTCGAAGTTTATCAAGTATTATTTTAAAATTTGGTCCTTGTTTAATACCTTTTGATGTAAGTATATCACCTGATACAGGAAAACGTGGTATTATCCATTGAGATAATTGTTGTGCTTCAATTAAATAATGTTGATATTTAAGTAATTCAACTATTTTTTCTTTTGCCATTGGATCTTGTATAATTAAATCAACAAGTAAATCTTTATATGGTTTCAATCGATCAATTGATGAATAATCAAGAATCGATAATGAATCACGAAAATTAATAATTAATTGAGCTAAACGACGACAATCATTGGAATATTTCATACGTTGTTCAAATATTCCTAACTAATAAGTATAATTTAAAAATTATTCAATCAAGTTCATTGTTCATGTTTTTATTTTTGATTTTATTGACTTACTTCATTTGAATTACGAAATAATTTTGTTAATATTGTCATTGCATGTGGTTTAGCTTGATAACATTGTTGATAATGATTATTAAATTCATTTAGATCAACATCAGATGGAATACCTTTGATAGAAATATTCTTTATTAGATTAATAAACAAAAAAAAGATTAAATTTTACCAAGATATGATCCAACATTTTGTTCAAGCATAACTTTTAATACAGGACCAGCATTTCTACCTTCTGCAATAAGTTTTAATTCAATCCATAAACGTTCACCAGCAATATCTATATAGAATAATATAATTTTTTTTTTTTTGTTATTTATTAATTTATAATTATACTTTTTAAACCATGAACATTTTCTCTAATTGCTTTTAATGATTGTTCATCATGTTCAGCATTATCATGTGCAAAACGACCAAAGAATCTTTATTTATTTATAAATAAATTATTAATATTTCAAATTTCATTTACCTAAAATATCTAAGAATACGAAGATAATCTTCACAAATACGTTGAATAGGATCACCAACAAAACGTATACGACGATGTTTAAGATCATCAATACCATTAAAATAATCATAAATTGTTCCATCAAGATCTAAATAAAGAAAATTTTTTTTTTAAATCACTTGCTAATCTTTGTTTCTTTTTTTTTTTTCTAAAAATTAACCAAGAAAAAGTGCATTAATTGTCAGATCTCGTCGATTAGCATCTAATTGCCAATCTTTTGTATATTCAACAATAGCATGTCTACCATCAGTCATAATATCAATTCTTAATGTTGTTATTTCAAAATTTTCAATATCATCTATTCGTACTGTTATTGTTCCATGTTTTTCACCATTAGAATTAATCATTCGAATATTTGCTTTATTAAACATATCTTTCATTTGTTCAGGTGTTGCTGTTGTTGCAAAATCAATATCATGTGGTATAATACCTAATAATATATCTCGTACTGCACCACCAGCAACACGTATTTCATATTGATTAACTTTAAATAATTCTGCTAATTTTAATAATGATGATGTTAATAAAGATCGATATTCAGGTGTATCTATTTTTTGTGTAATTAACATTTTGCTATATATATCAAATAAAATTAATAAATATATTGAATCAGTATGATGATATATATATATATATTACAATATCATCTAGAAAAGATTTCAAAGAAAAAAAAGGAAATGATGCAATTACAAAGAAAGGACAAAAAAAAAAAAACATTTCAACAATAACAACACGTCATTATTTTTTGCCACTTTTTTCAGCAGTAGCAGTAGCTCCACGTAAAAGTTTTGCTTGTTGAGCTTCTTCAGCTTCTTTAGCTTGTTTTTCATGAAGTATACGTAATTCTTCCATATATTTTGTTTGTTCTTCAATATTTAATGTACTAACAACTTCCATACCAATTTTATTTGCATGTTGAATTAATATACGACACATTTCTTTCATTGTTAAACCTTGATATGGTTCATCTATAGATGAAAACATATTAGCATATCTTTTTTTGGTTTTTACTTAATCCTTCAGAAGTTATTATAATAAATTTTTATTCTTATATACGATTTCAATTATCTTTTATTGATCATTATGATATTACCTTGAATTTTTACTTTAGCTATTTCATAGATATGTTTAACACTTATTCGACCACCAGGTTCTTTGCCTATAAAAAAAAAAAAAGCGATTAGTTTAAAAAGAAATTAAGAATAAAAACTAACCAATATTAAGTGCTGGTCGTTTAAGACCAGCTGCTTGTAAGAGAAGATGTTCAATTGTTGGTGTATAAAAAACTAATTCATATGTTCGATCAGGCTACCAAAAGAAAAACTAAAAGAATTATTAATTCATTCGAATCCTAGATAATTTACTTTAACATAAACATGACATGGTAAAGGTATTCCTTCTTTATAATCTTTTGTTCTTTCATTAAAATCTTTACAAAAATGTGCAATATTTAATGAATGTTGACCAAGTATAGGACCAAGTGGTGGAGCTGGACTTGCTTGACCAGCTGGAATATCCATTTGAAAATATGGTTGAAGAATAACTTTAGATGCAGCTGCTTTCAATTTTGAGGCCATTTTACCAACTAAAAAACAAAAAAAGATCAATAGAAATTTTTATTTGTAGGATTAAATAAAAAAACAAAAAAAAAATAGAATCAAATTACCTTGCTTCGAAGATGCCATTTTTGAAATTCTTCTTTTTGTTTTTTTTAATTACCTAATCTAAAACAAAAAAAATAAATAAACTTATTATTATTCATTTGTTGTTTTTAATGAAATATTTTCAATAGGTAATTCTTCATCTTCAGATGATTCAGATGGTGGCATATCACGATTAGGTGTATAATTATTATCAAAAATATCTTCTCCTGTTCGAAAACGTTTGTCACATTCGATTATAGCCTTAGTTGAATCACATTTTGAATATGCATCAAGTAATGATTCATTTAATGTATAAAATGCATGTCCCCATTTAAATTTATCAAGTAATATTGAACCAAATTCTTTTAAACCAACAATAGCTAATGCTGCAGCAAATGCTTCAACACAAGATAATTGACAAGGTTTACCTAAATAATTAATATAAAGAATGTCAAATAAGTTTTGATCGTCTTATTGTTTTCATATACTTGTTTTTTTTTCTTAATAGAATACGCTGATATTTATTGTATATGTACTAGATTCTAATGTCGGTGTCAGAAATAAATGGAAAAAACTCTAGAATGAATATCTCGAGAACAGTAGCAAATAGAGATCTGCGGTTTTCACCATTGGGAAAAGAACGATGTCAAGGGCATCGATCAACATAAAATTCATTAGGTTCGGAGAGTTCTTTCATGGATAATTTTGGATTGGCATTTTGCTCGCTGCCTTTTTTCAGAAGAATTTCCACCTAAATTATGCCAAAATGTAGCACGAGACACCATATATTCCTATAAAAATTATCATGTTCTTTAGAAGCCTCATCGAAGGAAAACGTTGAAAAGATAATAAAAAATTGTAAAAATTTTAGCTTGAACACGTGGTGTTTGGGGCTACATTTTGATATAATTTGGATTAAAATTCCGCTGAAAACTGATGAAAAAAGGCAGCGAACAAAATGCCAATTCAAAATTATTCATGAAAGAACTCTCCGAACTTAATGAATTTTATGTCGATCGATGCTCCCGACATCGCTCTTTCCAATGGTAAAAGCCGCAGGTCCCTAATTGCTACTGTTTTCGCGATATTCATTCCAGAGTTTTCTCCATCTATTTCTGGCGCCGATGTTAGTATAAAGTATATTCTACTAAAAAAACAAACCATATGAGAAAAGAATCAAAACTTATTAGACACTCTTTTTAAAATAAAATACCATAATTAACATTATTTGTAGCAATAAGATAAGGAAGTAATCGTAAATGTTTGCCTTTCATACGAGAAAATGGTGTTTCATCAAGTTTTGCCCATGAACAATCAACAACAGCAATACCATTATCTAATATGATTTGTTTATCTTCAGGTGATACACATTGTTGACCCAAAGGTGAAAGAATAATACCACCAAAATGACTGCCTAATTTTAATTGTTTAACAAATCCATGTCGAACAAGTTTACGACCAGTACAACGTTTAGGATCACATTGATTAACATCCCACATAGCTAATGGTACATGAATTTGTTCATTTTTTTCTTCATCATCTGTATTTTCATGAGCAGAATGATATTGATCATCATCACTATTCGATGATTTTCGAGCACGATCAATATATTCTCGATCTTTATGATGTTTAGTTTTTTTATTTATTTTATGAGACATCTGTAAGAGAGAAGAAAAAAAAAACTACAATAACAAATAGAACTTTTCAATATTCTTTTTCATTTTTATAATAAAACAAATTTGTCTATTACAAAAGAGATGAACAAGATTAAATCATTAAATTTTTTTGATGTTGTTTTTTGTATGTATATATATATATGTTTTTTTAAATGTTATTTATATTTGAAAAATACATTTTTCAAAATGTTTGCACTTAAAAAGCAATAAGTGAATCCATTCAGATTTCTGATTGATGACAAAAATAATACTTGTCATGTCCGTTGATCGTCATAGTTATTACTATACAATAATTTTAATAAGTAACAGTAGGTAGGCGAAATACAACAATCTTTTCTTTTTTCCTTCTCCATCAATATTAACAACACCTTCATTTTCTATCAAAAAAAAAAAATTCAATCGAGATTTCTCTTTCATATTTCTTCTCAAAAAGCATTCATTTCCGTTTTGAATAACGATCGTTATTATTTCTTTTTTTTTAAAAACGACGAGAAATAGAAATGTATTTAAATGGAAAAATCATTGGAACAATTAAAACATATTGAACGAATATCACGACAAACACGTCGTCATCGAACACATTTAAATCATATATATGATCAAAATTTACGTACAAAATTAAATGATTTAAATAATGAACGTGAACAAAGTATTATACGTTCAACATCACGTCGACAACTTGAAGAAGAACGAAAACAATTAGTTAATATTACAATTAAACAAATTGCAAGAGAACAACAACAAGAACCTTTACGAATAAATACAATACAAATCGAACAAGAAACAATTGAAAAATTTTCAAAAGATGATGGTAAATAAGAATAATAATAGTATACTTTCAATTTCAATGTTTTTGTTTTGATTTCAAACAAAAATGAAAACCACAAATGTTGAATAGACAAAATACGATTACGAAAGAGAATGACAGTTTTTTGTTGACTAAAGGTGTTATGTATTAAAAGGTATTTGCATTGATGACTAGGATATATTTTCTTATTCAATCTCCTAAACATTTCGTTCAAGAGTTATTTTAATTACTAATCATTGTCTGATTTAAGACAAAAAAAAAACTAAATATTTCAACTAAAATCTACAAAATATATTACTAATTCTAGAAAGTCGTCCATCATCTTCTATTAAACTACCTTCAACTGGAAGATCATGTCATCTATTTTCACATAATTGTCAATTTTATCCATGTCAACCAATCTATGAATATACTAGTTTTGTAAAAAAAGAAAATGATCAAACATTACGAAAACGTAATCTATCTAGAAGAAATTCTATTCAATCATCTCATACACCACATATAAAGAATATATTAACAACTATTCATGAAAGAGAACATCAACAATATCGTCGACAATTAGAATTAGTCATGCAAAATCAACATCATTTAGCACATCGACATGTATCTATGCAACGAACAATGTCAACACTTGATGAACAAAGTCGTCTATTACATGAACAATTAACTAATAAAAAAACATTCGGTTATAATAAAGAACGTCAACATCAATTATCAAAAGCTATTCAAAATCATTTAAAAGTAACTGCGAAATTTTGCGCATAAAATTAAAAATAAATAAATAAAAAAAAGAAGAACTAAAAGCAAAAAAAAAAATTTTATTTAAATATAATTTCATCTAATGTATTTTTTATTACTTAGTTTTTTTTTTCTTTATATATTATAGAATACTTTTCAAAATTTGTACAGTTCTATAGGAATGGATAGATACTTCAATAGAAAATCTTTTCAACTCAAAGATTTCGAAGAATATTCAGATATTTTTTTGGTGGAAAAGAATTTTCCAAAATAGATAGAAAAGTTGTATTCATGGATAAGTTTAATTCAATATTTGATATAATTAAAATTACAAAATTAATCATTGAAAATATAGATTGTAAAGACATTATGAGTTTTACTCTGTAATTGACTTTTTGTTCATTCTTTCGAATAAAAGAAAAGTTTTAGATCGATTCTATAATATAAATTTTGTGCAATGAGATAAAACTTACTAGTAGTAAATATTCTATCAGAACTAATTAATAATATAATTCAACAAGAATAATACTGTGTTTTTAGATTGACTTAATTACAAATATTTCATAATTTGATAATAAGGATATAAATGAAATTAATCAATGAACGATCTATAAACAAAATGAAATAATTATTTCGTAAGAAAGATTTTGATTTGTTTATTTACATATATTCAATGCATTATATTCATGTATAGAATTTTTTTCTCAAAAAGCTAATGATATACATATTCATAGTTTTCATTGCTCGATAGAATATCCAATCGTTTATTTGCTGTTTGAATAAAGAGAGGACGCTCTATATTGTTGTATATTTCACGAACTCTACTAACGCTTTTATAAATATTTCATATTCGATCTATTTTATCATTCAGCGAAGCATAATAAAGCAATATTATTAGTGGCGTAACCAGGATTTTCCAGTATCCTGAATCTCCATCCGAGAGCATGGATCCTAAATGAAAACTTACATACATTGATATTTGGACTCAAATAATGAATTTCTATCGGAAAAAAATTAGCATTTTCCTGAGCCCTACCAGAAAATGTTTCACATCTTTAATGATATGTCGTTTTCAAGAATGTCATCGAAAGCTACATTAAATTTCATCGACAGATTTCAAATTTCATTTAAAAATGTTGATCCGTTCAGAAGTTATGGTGTTTTTAAGATTCGAGACGTTTCGAAAAAATTTCACGAGGAATTGAAAACCGCACAACTTCTGAACGGATGAAGTTTTTTAAATGAAATTTGATGTAGCTTTCGATGGCATTCCTGAAAACGACAATATCATTAAAGACGTGAAACATTTTCTGGTAGGACTCAGGAAAATGCTAATTTTTTCCGATAGAAACTCATCATTCGAGTCTAATATCAATGTACATAAGTTTTCATTTAGGACCCATGCTCTCTAACAGAGATCCAGGATGATACTGGAAAATCCTGGTTACGCTACTAAATATTATCGGAAATTACAGACGATTTGAGAATTGAAAATTGTCTTTTCGTTAGTATCTATATCTTTGTTACATATGAGTAGAATACTGCTATCAAACTGAAAATAAAAATCTCAATACAAATGATAAAGAAGTGAAGAAATGGTATAGAGGGTGTGGGTGTATAATCATTATTCAATTGAGTTTGTATGACATATCCTCGATTTCCGATAGAACGAAATTGTTTTTGTATTTGAATATTTTGATGATTAAATTGTTTACAAACTGTTCTAAGATCTTTAAATATTGATGCTAATTGATTAACATAGACATACTTCGGATTAACTGTCCATTTCGATACACATGTATTCCATTTTCTTTCAAAAA